ACATAAATTTGTTCACTTTTCTGCTATTTACAAAGAAACGGTTAGGCTGAAAGTCGCGCAAAATTGATAAACGTTAGTCCTCATCGCAATACATCGAATGGCTTTTAAATTTTAAAAATCGCACCAGCCGCTTCTGAGAAAACGTCGATTTAGGGCAAAAAAATCTGTTCACACACACACACACACATACTTTTTCCAAATTTGGTCTCATTCGATTCAGAATGGCTTGAAACGTCGCGAAAACTAAAATTAGCGAATCGGATTTTTTGATGAAAACATAAACTTCTCCTTCGAGAAGTTAAAAATTTATCTCGACGACTATTTTACTCATTTTCAGAATAACTGATAATTGCTCATTATTACTATTGACGCGGTGTGCAACCGGTCTTTTAGGCTCGGAAAGCAATTGCACACACGGTGTGCAATCGATCTCGAATGGGTTAAGTTCTTGTTTTTTATCCACCTCTTTGTTCAGTTCTTTTTTGTTTTCAGAATATCCTTAAATTTAAGTCTTAATCGATAATCTTGCAAAATTATTTTTAGATTTTCAATTGATTCCAACGTCTATTTGGGCCTTGAAGCATTTTACTTAAAAATTTATTCTATTGAGCAACTCATGCCAGACTATAAAAAAACCAAGAAATTTTCAGTGTTTTATTTTTAAACCTATTACTTATGTTTCATGTTTGTTTTCTTTATTGAAATTTTCATTACTTACAATATCAAAAAGTGCATCATAAACTTCACCTAATTGATATCGCAAGGGCCGAATTGCATTAATCTAACTTAAAAAAAGTATTGTCCGATTAGAATTAGATGAAAAGAAATTATGTATTTAACTTAGCTGCATCGTTAATAATTGAATTTAGAGTATAGACAGCACAAGGTACGAAAATAGCCCTAGGATTTTTATTCAAAAGTAAACTTTTGAATTTTTTGCCTTTTATATTTGCTCATTTGTCATAACCTTAATCACAAATCACGTTTTGTTGAATTAGTTATATCAACACCCATTTTTTCCCTTGTTTGTATAACTACATCAAAAGAAACAATTCGAACAATAATTGTCATCTGTTCTGTTATTATATTATTGAGTAATATATAAATTTCCGTAGTGAGGTTGAATTTTATCTCTAATCGCCTTACTTAATATTACCAACAATTCATTTTGACTTTCCTGGCTCAAATAGTGAACTCTATAGTTTTATTGAACGTAACGTGTTGCTTCCATATCACTTCTAGATAAAATTTATAATTTATTAAGATAATTCAGATTATCATATTCCACACATAGTTCTTAAAGAGGTGTAAAGGTACCACATCTCATATTTTTTCTAAAGTATTTAAGCAACTAATAAAAATTGGCAATGAATTTAATAAATTCACTATGCGTTAGCCAACGATAAGAATCGAACAAATATGTATCTACTGATTATATTGCTAACAAAATGTGTAAATTATCTTCGTATTTATAGTTAAATTAGATTTTTCATTATGATTTATTAAGTATTCTATAGATTCTACATTTTCATGAAATTAGAGTATATATCCAAAACTCGTGATGACCTCTTGACCCAGGCGCCTAAATTTTTCGTATTCATCGCATGCAGGTTCGCGCCGGCCCTGCATATTATATATATATATATATACACATATATATATATATATATATATATATATATACTACTTGTTCGTATTTACATCAATTAAAGCAATGAGTCATTAGTTACTGAAGCATTTTAAATGACCCTCACTTTATATGAATGAACAAAGGTCATAATAAAGAACTTAAGAAAACGCTTCATTCAATGGACAATGCATGCATATATATGTATGAGTATACATATATACACGCATATATATATATATATATATATATATATATATATATATATAGTGTTGTTCCAAATATCAAATGTTCGATATAAGCGAACATAATAAATTTCGTATGTTTATGAATGAAATCATATGTTATAAATATCATTTCCTTTATATTCTACAATAGCAAGGAGCTCGAACATATACTTTACATCTCTGTAAATATTATAGAAGAGTCAAAAATGATAAAGAATTCGATAGTAAAATCATAACTAAACTTCAATGAAAAAACAAAATACAGTAGACTGTTATTCACCGGCTAACACAATATTTTTTCTATATTTAATCAAATGATTTGATTATTTTACAATAATATTTATTTCTCGTTGAACTCGTTATGGATGAAGATTTGATTCGATTTGGCAAATATGAAAATTTGGATTAGTTGTTCGTATGTCGTCAAAAGCATAAGATCAAATAAATTCGTCTAAATCATTGAGGGTGTTCTAGTGTAGAGCCATGAGTTTCTGGTCATTTTTAAATCGTAAAAAAGTTCATCGTAAAAAGGTAATATTTTTTTTACTATTTTTTAACTTTCCGTAGGGTAATTTATAGTAATGGGCCGAAAATCGAAAATGAAAATTTTTGCATATTTTCACGTTTCAGCTTTTTCTGAACATTTTGGCATACCTCAGACAAAATGAATGTGTGTGTGTTTTGTGTGTTCGCTATTTTTCGTTCACGTTTTCGGGCGTACGGATTAACCGATTTGGATGGATGAAATAACATTTGATTCCTATTGATAGAGAGATGTGCTAATTAGTTCTTGGCAAAGGCAGATCCAGCCGTTGTGGAGATACGGAGCAAAGAGTGCAGAAAATAGAAATCGAGTTTTTTTTTTAGAGAGCGAAGTATCCCATTTCATTTGTTTTTGGTAATGGCAGGTCCAGCCATTTCGGAGATACAGAGCTAAATGTACAAAAAATGGCAGTTTTTGAGAGAACTAGTCATTTGATTTGACTGATTCTGCTTGACAAAACAATTGTTTTGGAGAAAAAAGAAATTATTTAAATTTTTGTATATCGAAAATAATTCAGATTTTAATTTTAATTCTGGCTAAAGCTTTAAAGCTCACTTGTATACTTTAAATACATGATTTTAACTTTGTAATTTAGTTTATATAATTGTTTTGAATATTAGAAAATTTTACAGTACATATTTATAATAATCTATTTGAAAACATTTAATATTACTCGAACATTTCGTTACGGTACGGGAAGTTCCAGCAATTTTCCTTAGGACACGATGCGATACACCACTAGTTTTTTTTATAATTTATTTCCGTAGGGTAAGTTATTGTAATCGTCCAAAAATCGAAAATGAAAATTTTTGCATATCATTTGGAAGTTTTCTGAACATTTTGGCATACCCTAGAAAAATGAATGTGTGTGTATGTATGGATACAATTTTTCGTCCACGTTTTCGAGCGTTTCAATCGATTTGAATGGTTGAAAAAGCATTCGATTTCTATTGATAGGAAGATGTGCTTATTAGTATTTGGCAAAAGTCGGTCAAGCAGTTTCGGAGTTACTGAGCAAAGAGTGTAGATAATAGAAATCTAGTTTTTGAGAGAACGGAGCATCCGATTTGAATGATTCCAAAAAACATTCAAATCGTAATGTTCGGGAGAGATGGTGATTAGTTTTTGGATAATTCGGAATTTCAGAATTTTAATTCAGTAGGGGAAGTTCTAGCAGTTCGCCTCAAGGCGCGATGCTATACACCACTAGTTTAACAACGTTATTAATAATTTTAAAAATTAGCAGTTATTGAAATGAGGTGTTACAAAATATTGGCACGTGACGGTGTCAACGATTGCACGGTCGTAGTAATCCGAAATGAAAACAAAAGATTATTAATCTAGAATGATGTCGCAATGGCATATACTAGGATTAAGTTAAAAAAATGAAAAAAATTGCGATCGTTTACAAAAAGACCATTTTTTTGAGTTTCTAGAATTTTCTAAAAATAATAAAATTTGAAATTTTGGGACGACCTAACTAACAAAGAGTCTATAAGTCCATAAAGATTCTCTGAAAATTTCAATTACATCGGCCTAGTAGAATTCGAGAAATCGTGGACATAGTATTGAAAAAGGCAGTTTTGAGAAAAACGCTTTTAAAGTTTCGCAAAAGGAAGGAAACAGAAGAGGATTATCATGGTCGAATAGCTGTATTTCCGAAAATAATTTATTTTGAAAAATCGAAAAACAAAAAAAAACGACTTTTTCACCAAATTTCACCAAATCATAATATAAATCGTGTATTTTCAAATGAAATGAAGCGTGGACAACGACTGATTGCGCTAACCCCACTTCACTCAACGATAAACTTACGGACAGTTTATAAATGTATAGAAGATATAATGCACGGGAATATGAAAGAACAATTTTCGATAAGAATGATTCAGTACAATGTCAAGAGCTGAATGAGCAGGACTTATTATATATAAATCGAGTCCGCTAGTTACCATATCAGATAATTACGACATCATAAGCGATAATAGTATATCAATATCATGAAATACATGTTGATAAAACAGTCGAAGACGATCATTTGCATTTGAAAAATATGTTTATTAACTATTGTACGACGATAACGATAAGAAAGCAATGAACGATGTGCCAAATCAGAACCGAATCTGCCAGCACGTGAATGTGTTTTTCCAGTCAAATAATGTTTAAACAATTATATTTACGATGTCGACGAAATAATAACCGCCAATGAATGACGCAACTAGTTCTGATGACATATCAAACTGCAATGACTCATGTTGTGATTCTGGAACGAGTTTTATACATCGGTTAGAAGAAGAAGAGAAATCCCACTGTGCGAATGATTTGAAACTTAATGAACGACAAATATAACACTTTCATTACAATACATCAACTGACATCAACTGCATGCAATATTAAGTGCAAGTATCTTTCGCGAAATCTTACCTTAATCGATGAGATTTATTTAACAATATTTGTATTTATTAATAAAATAGAAGCAGTACTTCTTTGAACAATATCATTATCACCAGATTCATCACTTATAATAAAGCTATAAAACATCTAGTGTGAAGTACGAATTGAAACCAGTTCATTCGCATATTCATAAATAATAATATAATGTGTGTGAGATATGGGATTTCAGTGTTTGTGTGGTTCAAGAATCAAATAAAAATTTAATAGTTTATTGTGATGTTCAATTAAATTCATCAAAAGTGAAACAGTGTCATCATTAAGTTTTTACGTGGAAATTATATTCGGATTTATGTGTGAAGCTAACAGTTTTGAAATTAATAAAAACGTGTCAAAAAGTTTATTGGATATTTTTGATAATTTTCTGGAAAATGAAAATTTCGAAAATGAATCATCGCAACCTAACGATAAAACGAGCGAAGTTCGAGGTTTAAACAATGCAAGTTATGCCCTTGCTTGTAAATTAAGTCCGAGATATAACATTGTATGTAACGAAAGCCTCGAACAATTTAGTCTTTCTTTATCAACAACGTCATCTTTAAGTGATAAAGTTTTCCTGTCGTCAGAGGATCTGAAACCGTGTTCATCAGAATTTTTTTCGCGTGATTCTCCCAAAATGGATTGCTACGAAACAGGACAATTTGTGGAAATGCGTCATAGCAGGAAGTTTAACAATCGGGATGCTTGTATAAGTTTAGATTTGTATCCAAGAGATAAAATGCACCAGACGAAACGAAATAAATCATTAAATGATGGAGATTATTTAAAATTCATTTTCGATTTTAGACATCAAAATGTAATTGATAACAAAGACGAACCTTTATATGAACAACTGTGGAAGTGTCGAACAGAAACCTTACTTTCACCCCATATTAGATTAAATAGTGAATGGTTAGATTCTTTCTCGAATATACCGAATGTAATTGTTGAAGAACCAAAATTAGAGCAAGTTAAATGTACAACTGTACCAAATAACTCTTCCTCCCGTAATAAGTATAGTGATATCAATATGAATGACTTTGTTCGAAAATTTAATGAAAACCGTTCGTCCGATATATTTGAGGATGTAATCGCTTGGAAAAAAATGCTGAAATGTACAGATTATATAGAAGATGAAGAGCATGAGGTATGTCTGAGTTCTTCTGTAAACTTATTCAAAAGATATTTTTTATATATGAACAACGTATGAATGAATCAACAACCTGAACTTACATTACTGCATATATATATATATATATATATATATATATATATGGGTCAAAACGGAATTTTTCAAATTTTAACCCTTATCTTTGGGTCAATGCAGTGGACATTAGAACTCATTTTAAGAGGTATGGTTTCTTCAGAAAGTACCGTGCTAAACGAAAATCAGTATAAAATCCCTTTTTGTCACTATTCAATATGATGAATGATAAACACATTGAACGAAAAATAAATATTAAAATATTTAATATCAAACACATTGAATAGATTATAAAAATATTAATTTATTACCATGATAAAACAAAACCTTCACGATCTTTTCTGTGAATGCACTAGGCTTATTATCATTGATATCAGATAGACTATCATTTTCTTATTATTACTCTCTAATTTATTATTTTTATCTTCTGGCATTGTAGAACTATATATTCTATTTAAATTATAATATTTTTTGTGAAAAATGATTCTGTTATTGGCATTGAATAAATTTACGCTATCAATTATAAATAAACAATAATTAAAAAGAAAGTTTAAGAACAATGTTTTGATATTTCAAACAAACTAGTCTATAAACACATACAATTTAGTTTTGATCATAAAACGGGTTCTCATCTTACATAGATATATAAAAATTCGCAATTATTAAATTAAAATTATTAGATAAAAATTATACATTTTGTAGTGTTGTATTTTGACAGTAAATTTTTTTGATAGGTAAACAATGAAAATGTTATTGCAGATGTAGATATAAGCAACTTATAGTTTTAAGTTTATAGTTTTGTGTAAATGCAAAATTAATAATTTTGCATTATTAAATAAAATTATTTTAAAAAACTGTGTAAGATCGATTAGCCTTGCGTAATTCTGTAACTGCCATTTTTGAAGTTGTATTAATAATATAACTTAGAATTAGAACAATTTTATTACTACTAAAATACGAATCAAATAGGACAAAACAGAAATAATATCAAATTACAATTTTTATATAAAAAAACGAAAAATACATAAAAGTTGTAAGATTTTCTACATAGTTGAAGCCGGGACGACCGGCACCACTGAGAATCTACCAAAAATATTTCATGAAATGTTTTAAAGACTGTGTCGTCAAATTCTTCCTGGAAACTTAAATATGCTTGAAATACTTCAATTTATAGATAAGTACCTACAATTCATTTAAATTAGTTGCAATAACGTTTATAAATATGGCCAAAACTTCGTCAGATTGGTTATTGTCGCATAGACATTTATTAAACACGATTTGAGTTGAATGACAAAGTTTCATTGTTATGATGATTGTTTTTTCAAATTTTCTATTCAGCATTTAAGTAAATAGATGTAACATAATAATTTACCAAAGTATCCCTTCTTCATACTTATTGCTTTGCCAATTTTCATACATTGATGAAGTAAAAAGTTGGGAAACAGAATTGTATTTTTGATATTCATGTTATTTCAACTACTTTTAAACCATAAGTGTACCAGACGTATAATGTAAAGGATAACTATTACTATTACTAGGACACACTATTACTAAAAACATAGAAAATTGTAAAATATGTTTTGTTCTGTTAAGTTTTTTCCATAAAATAGTTTTCGAAGCTTTCACCATCATTTTGCATCCGTCTAAAATTTAGGTTTTTATATAGCAAGAAGTCATTTGGACATATTATGTGATAAATTCAATTTGTTCAGTTGCAATTTGTAGAACAATACATGTTTAAAAATTTAGTTAGTGATCATGACAGCATGAAAAATTATGCTTTTTCTCTATAAGTGTCATTGAGTCCTTTTGTTTTAACATGACATCAACTGAACGTACCTTGAGCAAGATTCATTAATTTATTCTAGTCCGAATTGTTTTAGCTTTTGAACGTAAGGGTAAGATAAAACTAATTCCAAAATTTCATGCAAATCGGAGCACAGTAAAAAAATTCAGAGGTTACACCCTTTTCTTCCTCTCAATTTACTGCACTATAGCATATGCAATATAAAAAAAACTCAAATTTTTGACTTGCATTATTCTAACTATGTACATTATAATTTCATTACTACTAAAGATGAGGTAAAAAACTATTACGGCAACATAGGTAAATTTAGAATCAATAACCTACCTTTTCATTTGGAAGACAGTCGAAAACTTAAGATTTTATGTAGGAGGTCTATATACTTAATTTTAAATAAATGAAGCTTCTCTTATAAATTTATTTTTCAAAGCCTGGCCCGTAAAAAAAAACTGCACAAAACCTACGCCGACGGTCGACTGCAATATCATCTTTGCTGAAAAAAATAATGTTTCTTAAGTTCGACTAAAAGATTAAAGTGTACTTTAATATGGAACTTAGGCACTTCTTAAGGCAAATCTTAAACTATTCTCCTCTTTCATACTATTATATATCAGTTATCATAGTAAACAGTAGTATTTATGTATATATATAGGATAGTACGGGGCTTAAAGGTCCGCGGGTGAAAAGGTCCACCACCGATAACTCAACAATAAGTAAATTTAAGAATTTTTTAACATTATTAATGAGATATTAATAGAGGGAAATAGATAAAGTATAACCAGCCATCACCTTGATTTTTACGTCGTCGTTATAATCAAAGTCCAATTGGACCTTTTTATCCCTCCCTACCCTATATAATTTTTATATAAGTTTGTCAAAAATATGCTTGTTCCAGACAGCTTTTGTTCAGTTTAATTCATATCATTGAATATAGCAATATTAAAATCCTTAATGATAATTACTGTAGTGTAGCATACCAAACAGTACAAAAATTAACAATTATCTAGTAATAAAAAATGTGTATCTACTGTAACTAATTATATTGAATTAATCATTAAATGATTAATTATATTTATCATTAATATAGTAATCATTAAATACACCCACAGCTGCAAATGTGTATTTTGAAATGGTAAGCGTAATATAAATTAAACGTTTCTTATATATTATTTATTGGACTAACCGTTTCGATCGTAAAAATCTATTTAAGTAATAACTTGAATTTTTAATAGAGAGTTGATTTGATAGAAATTTTATAGTTTATCTCTATAACTGCAGAACTATTGACAAATCAAAGAATTTAACAGGCTTGAATATCAGTGCAGAATACAAACGTAATATTAGTTTAAAGTTTCTAATACATGTATGACATTGCCAGATTTTCGCTAAACATATTTATATCTGTCGCTGGGATGAAATTTAAAAATTCAATATTTAAGAAAAGGCGCGATAGTGTTTGATAATCAGCAATCTATAAGAAGGTCTCAAAATATGTATTTCCTAGATTTTTTAAACCTCTGTATGTATGATAAGTATAAGAACTGAATAACGGCAATTTCAAAGGATTGCATATAGCTTAGGATGCAAACAGATATAATTTGTATTCCTTTCTAACATGCTGTTTGTCTATGTTATCTTTATCATACACAAATATAATTGTGGGGCTATGATAAAGAAATCGTTTGTTTTACTAATAAATTTTACTTTAAATTTCATAGGCTGATATTGTATACATAGACCCATACCCATACCCATACATGGTATGGGTATGGGTCTATGGCATAGGTGGGGAACCTGCGGCCTAACATAGTACAAAATGGTAGAGTTCTTTTCAAACAACTTTTGTACATCAACATCATGATAGTTTCTTGAAAAATTCTACTAAAAATAGTCATATTGTGACATGACGTCAGATGCTAGCTTGAAACACAGACTCTAACACGCATAAAATATTTTTTGTGGCATGTTTTGTAATATTTTTATATTATTTTATATGTATATAATATTTAAAATTTTGCAATATTAATTTTAGTTTTTCTATATAATGTAAGAACTATTTAAATCTATAGAACAAAACTATAATAATTTCACAAAAGTCACTTTCTTAGGCCAATCAGCTTATGCGGCCTCTCTTATAGCTGCTTAATTTAAGTGCGGCCTCTGATGGTAAAAAGGTTTCCCACCTCTGGTCTATGGGATAATTATTGTGTGAAAAGTAAAGTAGCAACGAAGTTAGAGCATAAGTTCAAAATCATTCTTTGTCGTTATATTTATTTAACCTTATACACAAGCATTTTATGTTTTAATTAGAAAAAAATAGTTAGATGTGCACTGTGCCTTAAGGCATTTTATTTTTGAGAATTTTTAAAAATAGTATAAGCAGTGTATGATGATAGAAAATTTGAATTGGAAAAAAAATTAAAAAATTTAGAGTATCCAAAAATGTATGCACTTGGTATCAAATTATATGCAAAAATCTTTTTCACATACGTTGAAATCGTTTGTTTGAATTATAGTTGTGATTTTGGAACATTTGCAATATTGATACGGGACCCAGAAATTTAGTAACAAAAATTATACCTAGTGAGATAATTTATTGTGTAGTGGTAAGTGTTTAAGTAGTAAAAAGTTCTTAAAGTGAAAAAACGTAAAAATTTATATATTTTTATTTACATATTTTTACTGTTCGTTTTCGATTTCTTGCGTTGCTAACTCCTTGCGGAATGTTAAAAATGTTAAATAAATGTAGAACAGTAACTCAGAGCTTCTGGCAAATTAAAACAGTTGCTAAACCATCCCATAAAGAACTGAAGTGTATGGAAACCTCTTGCCCAACAACCAAAATGTCCAAAGTCATACAAATATCTTTATTTTTTTCACCACAATTACATTCCTTTCTTAAATAATTATATTTATAAAATTAATTTTTTAACACAAACATACATAGATAATATATACAAACATTTCAAACCTGCCTCGCCACGGATTGATGTGTATATTGATTATACAGGTATTATATTAACACTTTCCACTCGCGAATTGCGAGATTTATATGAATTTTGTCGCCGGAGCGGCGGCATCCGAGTCGAAAGGATTAAGTAGGTGACACAGAGTACCATTGTCCCATTTTTTTTTGATTTGCAACAATTTTGTCTGGAAGAAAAGTAAATTAAAAAGTAATTTGAACATTTGTCTACGTGCAAATACTGAAATAGTGTCCATGAATACGATTGATTTATTTTAAAATCAAATTATACAAGAAAAGGGCGGTTGTGACAGACCTAAAAATAGGTTAAAAACAATCGCTATAAACACCAAAATGGTTTATAACAAATTTTATTATTAATAACAATAATATGTCACACAACTCAACATAAACATTTAAACAGAGCACACGAATAAAATATAACAATATATATAACAAAACATAATTTTTTAAACAAAGTTAACAATAATTTTTTGTAAAATGTTTTTATTTTCTTGTATAGAATTTTCCTTTTTCTTTCCCTTTCGTATTTTGTATTAGTTAAGTTAGATTTTTCTTTATTTGTTTAATATTTAACCGAAAACGACAAAAATGCATGTCACAACCGTATCCAACTATCCAACACACACTTTTGTTGACAAATCATCGTTATGATTGAGCTAAATTATCTACGCAGAAACTAATTATTGGTAATTAACTACTAATGTCCAACTTACAGCAAAATAACAAACAAAGTTATCTATCTGTATACAATTATCAGTTATTACTTTTGACTTTTTAAAAGCAATGCGGACTACAGATCATGTTAAGAAACTTGTTTAAACAATCATCTTTCATTTTTATTCCTTTAGACCCTATCCCAAAATCTATATATATATATATATATATATATATATATATATATATATATAACAAAGTCTAATAATCGGGCATAACATCAATAAAAAGGTTTTTTATTGATGTTATGCCCGATTATTAGACTTTGTTAATACATATGTCAACATCAAATTCAGAATCATACAAAATATATATATATATATATATATATATATATATATATATATAAGGGCTCAAACGTAAAATGGTCCACCACCGATGTCTCAAAAACAATTAAAGTTAAGAATTTTTTAACGGCAATATTTGAATGTAGAGGAAAAATGTGTACAACCAGCCATCACGTTAATTCTTACGACGTTAAAAAAGCATTTTTCACAAGAGATAAATTAAATAAATAATACAACTCTGCTAATGAATATTTTGGACGAAATATTAAATTAAGGTTATATAGAGAGTTACCTCTGTAATAAATGTACTCATAAAATTTAATTTTGCATTGGTTGAATAATGTAGCTATTATTTCGTTAAATCCCTTCTAAGTTAAAAATAATACATTGAATTGTTTGTCCTCTGGCCGTCCTATTTTACCCCCAATACCATCCTTAAATTTTAGGAGCTTTTGACTCCGCTGTTCGTCTATAATAAGTAATATAACATATTGAAGTTATAAAATGTGTTTGGTAACAAAATATATAAATAAAATCATTATGAAGGAATTTTATTGCTTCTATCAAAGTTTTAAGACAAGCTCAGGTGGGGGTCATGACCCCCGCGACTAACCCCCTGGATCCGTCAGTGTCCATTGCATTATCTATAAACAATATGTTTTTGTTCAAACATTTAGTTACATTTACAGATTATCGAACAGTTTCTACTGGCGTCATTAAAAGGTGCAATAAATGATTCATTGTCAGTTTTGTAACATTTATTTCGTTTTGTATCCAACTTTAACTAAAACTTCGATATAATAATTTTGCCACAGAAAAATGTAGATTATTATTGTATATGTACTAATATGTAATCAATTGTTGTAGACGATAAACAAAGAATTTATTTTAAACATTAATCCATAAAAGAACGCACACAAACACTTCTGCCTGAAATAACAAATGCACGTCCGCTGATATATTTGAAATGAAAAAATAGCGTAAAGTTTGATGAATGAATCATATTTTTTTGGATATGGATATGGAGGTCTTTTCGTAGAGGACACACTAGTAGAGTTACTTCGGTATGTCGTCATTTCAAGATCTATGGAACTACGCCCATGTGTTCGCATTATTTTATGTGTATGACGATATTATCTAATACATACAGTTAATTCAAAAACGTCTAACTGAGATAATTGAAGTGATAAGTGAAATTCTTTCCAATTGTTACTATCGTGTGTTCGTGTGTATGTATCGATAATGAAATGTAAGTAATTATTTACAGGTTGTGCATCAAGCTTGCAATAGTACAGAAACAATGAAATGATATAAATTAATATAAGTATTTAACCGTCGGTGTGTATTAATTAAAATCGCGTTTGTGATCATTACTTAACCTTTTCCACTCGTATGCCGCCTCGGATACAATGAAATTTTTATAAAAAAAATAGGATATAGTACCTATTCATCGTGAAAAAAAATCATAGCTTTTTCAGTTCATTATCTATTTCTAAATGGTCTGAATCTGTGATTTATTAATATTATTAAATCGACTGTTCTCGAGAACGGTAAATGATCATACTAATATCAATAACACAACTATGATGAATATTTTATGACATGCATTCCTCGCATCGTTTAAACTATATGATATGTATTCTTTGAATTTTCTACATACCGTTTAATTTTTTTGAATTAACCGAAATTATTTTTATTCAAAATCTACATCGACATTTTGAATTTAGATTTTTGTACAAAACAATATGCAATAAGATATGAGATAATACAATTGAAGCATATGTCGTATCACTCGATTACAAAAAAAAACTATAACTAGTGGTGTATGGCATCGTGCCTTGAGGCAAATTGCTCGAACTTCCCGAACGAGAAATATTAAATGTTTTCAAATAGATTATTATAAATAATATAACTTTCATTATTCTTATTTTATAAAAAGTAAATAAACAAAACGTTAATCAATCGGTTTTAAAATGAAGAACATTTTCTAATATTTCTAACATTGTCTAAGTTATAGATAGGGGTTTAAGTATTATATAAACTGAATTACAAAATTAAAGTTATTTATTTGAAGTATATAAGTGATATTTAGAATTTTAGCTAGAATTAGAATTAAAATCCGAATTATTTTACAGTAATTAATTTTTTTTGTAAATTAAAAGGAAAATATAATAAAAAAAATCTATCAAAATTTTTCTTAAGAGCAATCGTTTTGTCAACACTTAGAAGCTTAGTTCTCTCAAAAACTGCCATTTTTTGCACACTTAGCTCTATTTCTCCGAAACGGCTGGACCTGCCTTTGTCAAACTAATGGCCACTTCTACCCATCATTACGAATTGAATGGTTTTTGGATCATTCAAATCAGTTGATCCGTTCTCTTAAAAACTGACGTTTTAACACTTTTTGCTCCATATCTCCGAAGCCGCTGGACCTGTCTCCGCCAAAAACTAATCAGCACGTCTCCTCATCACTAGGAATCGAATGTTTTTTTTTAACCATTTAAATCCGATAATCCGTACGCCCGGAATCATCGACGAAAAATTGTCTCCACACATACACACACACATCATTTTTTTGAGGTATGCTAAAATGTTCAGCAACCTCTGAAACGTGAGCATAATGCAAAAATTTTCATTTTCGATTTTTGGCCCATTTTTATAACTTACCCTAAGGGAAGTTAATTAGCAGCTATGTAGAATTTAAAGAATAGAATTTGTGAATGGCAAAAACCTTATATTAGCAAAACGGCTATGCAGCGCGATTGCTTTAAAAAAAATCAAAAATAATATTAATTAGTTATAAAAAAAATTAAATTACGGTACCGGAAGTTCCAGCAGTTTGCCTTAAGGAACAATTCCATGTACCACTAGTTAATATATAAAATAATATTGTTTTTTGTGTATTTATTTTAAATAGCTATCATTATCTTTAGTCAGAGCATTTTTTTTCATTCAAGTTTAACTCACACATCAGATTGTCAGATTCGACCAAAGGTGTAGAGTTTGTGACTAAACATGGGATATTCAGATATTCCAATAGTATTCGGTTGGTTTGTGGAAGTATAGTTAAAGATATCCATCGACGGTAATTTTTTTGCTTTCATCACTTGACATTGCATTCAACTCTATCTTTTCAGTGGATGGTAATTGATCCGGAATTAGTGGAAGAACAGAAAGGAAAGTCAACTTCGCAAGAATTGGTTGTGCCAAAACTAGTATCTTTTAAACCAATTTCCGCTGCTAGCCAAGCGGCTTTCAGAAATGAATTGCAAGGACGACTGGTAGAGATGCATCAGCCAAGCACATCGACAGCAAATGATGATGGTATGAAAATATTACATATATTCCTTGTCTTATATATTCGGAAATTATTGTATAATCGACACAAATGGAAATCGTAATTGTAGTAATGGAGTTAGAAGACAGAATGCATATTTATATATTGCAATTGATTTTTTGTAATTTGTATTAAAAAAACCAATAAGAAAAATACAAATACACAGCAAATACAAACCATTTTGACAGTTTTTAGTACTAACAATAAGAAAGGTGCGTTACCAAAACAACGCTAGTTTACAGTCTTTTTACCGGAGAATCGACCTCTATATCTTATACGAAACCTTTGGCTAAGAAGTTTGTCTGTCAGACTAGGTAATAGATCTATTACAATAGATAGTTCGAACTATCAATATATAATATAGGGGCCGTTCAAGTATTACGTAAGCACTATATGGGGGCGGGGGGGGGTTATTTATTTGCTTATTTTGCTTATTTTGGGTAAGAAATTTGCTTACTTTTGCTGACAAAGGGGAGGGGGGGGGGTAAATAATTGTAATAAATCTGCTTACGTAATACTTGAAAGATCCCATAGATAGTGTATAAAATAACTGTTAGCTTAATTTTAAAGTTAGGAGTCCTAACTTAGGACAATTGTATTTTTGACTATTATACTAGCTGCGACTTACTAACAAGCAAAGTTGCGGTCAATTACTTATTCGCACATCAATCCAAATAAGTAAAAAATCTTGAGTAAATATAAAAGATCTAGAACAGTGGTTCTCAAAGTGGACGGCAGCCATCTAGAAAATTTGAAATGCACTGATGGTGCAAATTTTTTCCGAATGTTTTATGATTCATTAAAATAGCGTACTTTGTCAAAATTGGTTTCTTATTCATCATTTTATCTCTTACAGATACAATAATTTTTATATACCTTATTAATATCTATTGAAATGAAAAAAATAAGGGGGCGCTGAGTAATATTTTTTCTGGAAAGGGGGCGGTAAGTGAAATAAGTTTGGGAATCACTGATCTAGAATATTATGTTTTACATGTTCTTTGGTTTAGTATGTCATCAACATTTACAATCAGGCATAGACAGCATTATATACAAGTCTTATTTAATTATTGGAGAATTCATCATTATAGATAACATTTTCGTTTACAAGATATTTTAGTTATACTAAAAATTATTACATATTTAGGCTGCACATACAAATCTCATTAATAGGCCTATTCATATTAGACAAATGTTATTGTTTTATATTTCATAGTCGTGTGTTTGAGGTCAGATGAAAACACACCTGCAGATTTGACGCCACCACAACGAAGAGTGATTAGCAGGTCGACTGAATCTATATTCGAGGGCGCAGGTAACTAACTGACTTTAAAAAGCACTTATTTATATCTATTCTGCACTTTATCAACTTTCTCTGTTATATTGAGATTTATACTGATAATAAGAAATTTGAATTTATTTATTTTGTATATATTTTGGTTGATATGTTTTGGTCTAGAAAATAGTAACATAATCTTTTACGCCAATGTGTGATTAGAATCAAAGCTATAGCTAATATTGATTATATAGCCTTATTAGCAAATGTGTAAATAATTATTATAACTATTTATGAACATTATTTTAGGACCGCAATTAAGAACTTCAGTGAAGAATGATCGAAGAAAACTTAAATCAGTTTTAGTTATTCCGTAAGTATATATTTTTTTCAAATATTTTATAAAATCGCGTAAATTGATCTAACTTCATTAATTATGAATAAATACTTTATAAACATTAATATTTATATGAAATTTTTTGAATAATTTATAGATTAAATATTTGAAAACCGTATATATATATATATATATATATATATATATAAATTTAAAATAATAAGTTTTTGTTGATGTTTTGGTCATTTCTGAATAACCCAATATTTTTACTTAATTTAGACCTCATAGTGGATTGTCATCAAAAGGGCCGATTTCTTTGGATGTGGAAAAGGTAAAATTCTGACTATAGTTCTTACTTGAAATGCAAAATTTTTAATGTAATATATCATGCTCTATGAAAAACTCATGATTTTATTTTGTAGTCGGATACCAAATTGCCCGCGACGAATACTACGGATGATGATGTTATATCAAACAAAAAAGGTATGGAAACTATATTTTTATTTTAATTCATCAATTTATATAGTACGTATCACATAACGACTTTACAGTACTATTTGATATCATTGAACACTAAGAACTTGAAATTGATACAAATTTTTAAGTTTATAATCATATTCATTCTTATTATGGTTCATAGGGAAATCGGAAAATTTAGATCGTGAACAGGCTAAGTTCAATCTTCTCAAATGGTTCAGAAAAAGGCCACCGATGGATACGTTGATCAAAAAGGGCATAATTCAAGGTAATTTTTCTAATCTTACTAATTTACTAAATTTTCTGAATATATATTTACTACTGGTAAATATATATCCAGAAAATTCATATTTCAAAACGCTGGATATAAAACTAAACTTTTCCAGAACATTTTATTGAATGAGAAGCAACAGTTAAGAATTTATAGTTATATGTATATATATATATACATATATATATATATATATATATATATATACAATATACATATATTAGGGTGGTCCTTAATATGGACATTTTCGAATTTTCTTGCTATCAGGGGCTCAAATGCCTCCAAATTGATAAAAAAATCTTCTATATGTTTTAGTAAATATTGTCTTTTAGATAGTGCACAATTCAATCGAAGTTTTGTATGGAAATAGCATGGATTTTTTTTTTTAAATTTTAAAAATGTTTCTTAGATATAATTTAGCGAACAAATGAGTTTTGTTCAAAATTCGACACTTTACAAAACAAATTATATATATATATATATATATATATTCATAATAAAAATTGATAATAAAGTTTTTCATATATTACAGGAACAATATTTGGAGCATCTTTAGAATCTTTATGCGTTGGTCTAGGGGCGCTAACTCCACATGTTCCACCGTTCGTACGCGCCTGTACAGAGCGTTTAGAAAACACAGAGGGCTTTATGGAATCTGATGGTTTATATAGGGCCAGTGCCAATTTGAGTACCATACAGCGTCTTCGAATACAAGTAATGATATGATGTTGATATTTGAAATTGTTTATTAACATTAGAAAACTTCACGTCATTTATTTTATGTCACGCGAAAAAAAAAAACAAAGCGATCGAGCAATCAGTTTTTTAAGCTAATATAGCATTACGATTGTGTTCAAAATGCTGCGTTATTTATTAAAGCTACTATTATTAATCACGCGAGGCTTAAAATGGGGGAGACAAGTATTTATTTTTAAAATAATCAAAAATTGTTTATAAAGTTTCTCAGAAAATTCGATTTTTTCTAGTAGGAGTTGTTGGGTGAGACAGGGGTGTTTTTTAAATATTACCGCGTATTGAGTGAGTGAGTCCAAAAATGCCTAAAAGGCGATCACGTGATTAATGGACGCCCCCTTCGCAGAACTATTGGCATTTAAATAATATATTTTTTATAATATATTAGTATTAACTCAGATGTTGGAATAGCCTTAAAACTTTTAAAAACTTATAGTTTTACTAATAGTTTTGTAGACTGAAATTAGAGTATGCGCTTAAGAGCTAAAATTTAACTTTGGTTATAAGATCAATTGCGTATTATATATTTATGTGGCGCGGTGTTTGTGATTTACCTCCTTCGATACGGCTTTACCGATTCTCATGAAATTTTGTGTGCATATTGGGTAGGACTAAGAATCGGACAACATCTATTTTTCATCCTTCTGAATGTTAAAAATAATTCACCCTTAATTTGAAAAAAAGACGAATTTTTTTGTTTTTATTTTTTTATAATGTGGAATTAAAAAATACATGCAACCCTAAATTTTTACTTTATTATTATCAACCCCTATTTTTTATAACCATTTTAGTAATTCAATCATTTTTTGTCACGCGTTCAGTCATTAAATATTTTTGACATAACTTTAGTTAGGATTTTTGAACTTAAAGAAAAAGCTTAAAGAAATCTTACTTTGACACAGTATTTACTTAGTTGTCCAACCCTAATTAGGGCCTAATATTGTTTTGGGGCCCTTTTTTTATTTCAATTTTTTTTAATGCGGATTTGATAAAATACACACAACTCTTTTTACTTCAGAATACTATTCATTTTTATTGAAGGTTGTCTACCCCTAATTGTAATTTTTTTTTGTAAATTTTATGACTTATTATTATTTTTTTTTTTCTATAATTTGAAATTGAAAGATACACGGAACTTTCTTTTTTACTTTTAAAAACTATTGATTTTTATCATAATGCGGAATTGCTTACAACTTTAAGGAGGGAAGTCCATATAACATTTTCAAAAAATTGATTTTTTTTGGTAATCTGCCAGTATTGTATATTGACGAGTCAAAAAAAAAATCTCTATATTAACAAAGTTATAGCTAACATAACGGGGCGGGCCGGAGTGCGCATTGTCAAGCGATCAAGCGTATTGTTAAAGGGTATGGGCACATTGCCATATAGAATCGGCCCCACCCTGGTATTTAAATAATTTATACGCCATTTTATAGGTCTAAATGATACAAACCGATATACCAATTTTCAACTTTGTATCTCATCTTATGGCCGAGATATCATTGAAAATATGTGAAAGTGGCCCCTTTTTTCAAACTCACTTTTTGACGTAACCATAAAAGATATCGAAAAAAAATTTACGTGGTTCTATTCATATTGGCTTAGGCCACATAATGTAGAACAATCGATGCCAAATAATTAATTATTATTAGCTGAAAAAGATAAAATAATTTTTCAATTGATGTTTTCCGGTAGTGCGTTTAGTTGGACCACCTTCTAATTAGCGTTATTCGAAAGATTATTGCTTTATCTTTTAGTACTGAAAATATTGTTCAAATCAATTTGGTGGAACACATTGGAAAATTGAAAAAACCGGAGCCAGTACACCCGCGCGTAACCCTAATAGTACCCTGCAATTGCATAGAGTTCGTTCGAACGCAAAGCAGTGCGCGAAGCGCCCGAAACGGTTCCTAAGAAATTCTGAACTTTGAATTCTGAAATACAATTTCTTTTATTTATCACTGTGAGTAACTTAATTAAAGTGATAAAAGTATTTTAATTATAATATTAGAAATAACTAGTGGGGTGGGTGGCATCGTGCCTTAAGGCAAATTGCTGGAACTTCCCGTACCGTAACGAAATGTTCGAGGAATACTGAATGTTTTCAAGTAAATTATTATAAATATTGAGACATTGTCTAATATTTATAAGTATTTTATAAACTGAATTGCAAAGTTGAAATTATTTGTTTAAAGTATATTAGAACTATAGTCAGAATTAAAAATAAAATCTGAATTATTTTCGATATACAAAAAATTAAAAAAAAAAAAAATGAAACAAAAATTTTTTTTCCAAAATCAATTATTTTGTGAAAACAAGCAGAAAGTTCTTTGAATCATTCAAATCGGACGCTTAGTTCTCTCAAAAACTGCAATTTTTTACATATTTAGCTCCGTATCTTCGAAATGGCTGGACCTACCTTTGCCAAAAACTAATCAGCTCTTTTCCCGATCGATAGGTATCGAATGTTTTTTGAACCATTCAAATCGGTTGATCCGTGCGCCCGAAAACGTGACTGGAAATTTGTATCCATACATACATACATACACACACACATACACACACACATCCATTTTTTCTGAGGTATGCCAAAACGTTCAGAAAACTTCAAAACGTCGAGAAATGTAAAAATTTTCAATTCCGATTTTCGGCCCATTACAATAACTTACCCTACGGGAAGTTAAAAATTTATTGGTGTTCTTTTAAAATTTACAAGTGTATCATATGATTTACACAAATACTTCGGTATGCTAAATAAATAATTAATAAATCTATTAAAATTATATTTTGTTATTATAATCGTCATCACTGTCATGGTTAATAGCAACCGAAGTTTCCTCTATTATAAAAATATTCGATAGTATTTCTGATGGACGTATAATACGTGATAAATACCTCGCAAATGACATATAATATATGATAGCTGCAATATGTGAACAGCAACCAACAGTCCTCAATCCATTGGGACAACTACAGCAATACCTTAAAATACTTCGATAGTTGGTGCCAAGCGGAGTATATTCAATATAAACATTATATTTTTTCCTATTTATATGCCGTGATTGGACATCAATTCTAATTATATTCCTACACTCTTTGAAATAATAATAATAATAATAATAATTATAAAAATACTTCGATAGTTAGTAGCGGAGTATATTCAATATAAACATTATATTTTTTCCTATTTATATGCCGCGATTGGACATCAATTCTAATTATATTCCTACACTCTTTGAAATAATAATAATAATAATGATTATTAGAATACTTTCAGTAATAATTTTTGTAAATTCCTGAAGTACTATATAGAAAGTTTCCACATCAAATGGCAAATAATTTTTGAAGAATTTTAAATAACCAAAAGCAAAGAATTTCAGATTACCATTTGTCATATTTCTTTTTGTATTGTAGTATTGAGTAGTACTGATAAAGATAGGCCACAATAAGGGCTTTATAATCGCAATATTACAATTATCATTAAAAAAAGAAAGGTTTCTTGGGTTTGTTGAAATTACAATGTTTCATTATATTATTATTTCATATGAATACATATAACTATATAATAAATATTGTCACATTCAGAATTTCTTAAGAATCGTTTCGGGCGCTTCGCGCACTGCTATGCGTTCGAACGAACTCTATGCAATTGCAGGGTACTATTAGGGTTACGCGCGGGTGTACTGGCTCCGGTTTTTTCAATTTTCCAATGTGTTCCACCAAATTGATTTGAACAATATTTTCAGTACTAAAAGATAAAGCAATAATCTTTCGAATAACGCTAATTAGAAGGTGGTCCAACTAAACGCACTACCGGAAAACATCAATTGAAAAATTATTTTATCTTTTTCAGCTAATAATAATTAATTATTTGGCATCGATTGTTCTACATTATGTGGCCTAAGCCAATATGAATAGAACCACGTAAATTTTTTTTCGATATCTTTTATGGTTACGTCAAAAAGTGAGTTTGAAAAAAGGGGCCACTTTCACATATTTTCAATGATATCTCGGCCATAAGATGAGATACAAAGTTGAAAATTGGTATATCGGTTTGTATCATTTAGACCTATAAAATGGCGTATAAATTATTTAAATACCAGGGTGGGGCCGATTCTATATGGCAATGCGCCCATACCCTTTCAAGTGAAAGGGTCTCTTCTATTATAATAACTAGAAATACTTTTTTTGTCCTACAACCGGAAGACTTCTATGTACCTTTCTATATGTGTAATATTGGTAAAAGAACAAAAGTAAAAGTAGAACTAGGTACCATACAAATTTATGGCAAAGCTGTAAAATTTCCCACTTTCTCATTTTTTAAAATCTCATTCAATTTGCTGGAAATGTCACATGAAAATATGATTTAAAAATGAATGACGGATTTTGCTTCGAAATTTAAAAAATAATGATGAGAAGTGCGGTAATAATATATCAAAATCTAGAAACCTTAAATGTTGAAAAACGATATAATAAAATTAGGTTCAGATTAGGTTGGCACTTGCAAAGACTATATTACACAGGAACATTTACATGCAGCATGCTTTGCAGTGGGTAAATTATTCATATATTTTTTGTTAGCTGCTCATTTCACTTATATACCACATTTGCAATCAGTTACTTCAATACTAAACCTGTTACACTAGAAATATTTTTTATGGCAAAACAACGTTTGTCGGGTCAGCTAATATATATATATATATATATATATATATATATATATATATATATATATACAGTCGTACCCCCGTATAAAGTACGCATCTCACATTGTACGCTGCGCATACCGAACTTTTTTTTCGGGCGCATACGTTTCACACAACTCAACCGTTGTCATCAAATTCTCAAATTAATTCAAAGAGTGGACCTTGGAAATGTTGGCCTTTGCTGTGAATATATATTTTTTGGAGAAAATTCACATTCATAGCTCAAAGGCCCTGTCAAAATTTTGGAAGTGGATG